AAGCTGCATACCTGCCTGCAGATAATCCCTGCCTGCCCCAGCACCTCTTCCCCACTGTGCCACCCCCCAGCCTCCTGCCCCTCCTGCCACGCCACCCTCACTCTTCCCAGACTAACAGCAGGCAGGTGCGGTTCTTTCCCCTCAGTCCTCTCAGTCCCCACAGAGAGCAAGACAAAGCCTTTCCTCTACCCAAACAGGCCACTAAAGGTCCCCGTCCCCTCCCTACACACAGGGGACACCATGGTGAGGCTCTGTCCTCGCTCCCCTCCCACCCTTCTTCCCTCCACAGGGACCCACCCGTGTTTGCCTGCCGGGATTTAATGAGCTTCTCCAGCAGCTCATCAGGGATGGGGCTTCCAGTTTTGTAGTGCCCGGACATGCGCAGCAGCGGCTCCTTCTCCCACACCCAGTTCTCCAGCATCTGTGACGGTGCCTCGACAAAGTCCCGCTCCACGTGTGTCCCACTGAACATGGCAAACTCCGCCTAGGAGACACAGCAAGATCAGAGCAGGACGTCATTTAACCCCACAGGGGAGCACAACAGGAGACAGGTCACAAACCAAGCCTCTGCCAGCCCAGCCAGGCCTCACCTGAGAACACAGCTGGTGCATGACATGCCCAAATTCGTGGAAGTAGGTCTCCACCTCATCGTGCTGCAGCAGGGAAGGCGCATCTGCCGTGGGCTTGGTGAAGTTGGCCACCATGGCAGCCACCGAGATCTGCCGGCTGAAGTCTGGCAAAAGGCAGCCTGGCTGCAGGCCGAAGCAGGCTGCGTGCCCGTACTTCCCTTCCCTAGGCCAGGAAGAGGAGACTGTTACACAGATCCTCCCCCACAGCCAGCCATGAGCCACCGTGCAGGGCAGCGTGGTCCTGCTCAGAGCAGAAGCTCCTGGTGATGCTGCGATTCATGCCAACCCTGTGCTCCTGGGACAGCCCTGCCCGATTACACACCGCTCCCTCCACACAGCCACGCGTCTGGGAACGGGACGGCCTCCCCTCTTCCCCAGGTGCATGGCAGGCTCCACTCCCCCTGCCCTAGCCCTCTTCCCTCGCTCCACGTTGCCCAAGGCCTCACCGCGGGTACAGGTCCAGGTAGAATTTGCCAATGGTCTCCCCAGAAGAGGTGTCCTTCACCGTGTAGAGCTGGACGTCCTCATGCCAGACCTGAGCCTTCTCTTCCAGATGGAAGGTGAGCCCCAGCAGCTCCTGGTAAATGGCCAGCAGGCCCGTGGTGACCACCTGCATGGGGAAGTACTCCTTCAGCAGATTCTGGTCCACGCTGTACTTGGTCTCCTCCACCTGGTTCATGTAATAGCGCATGTCCCAGGCATTGATACGGTTGTCAAACTCCAGGCCGCGCTTCTCGCATTCTTTCTTTTTCAGGTCCAGGATCACAGCTCGTTCCTTCTCCCCAAGGGGTTTCAGCTTCTGGGCCAGCTCATCTAGGAAAACAGAGGCAGGCAGGGTAAGTGCCCGGGGCTGAGAGCAGCACACCCGGCCCAGCGCATGCCCCTGCTCTTCCCCTCCACAGCCAAGTGCCATACCCAGGAACGTAGCCACTGTCTTGCTGCTTTTAGCCATGTTCATCTCCAGTACAAAGTCTGCGTGCGTGTTGAAGCCCAGGAGACTGGCTTTCTGAGCACGCAAGTCCACCAGCTCCTTGAGGATCAAGCAATTTTCCTGCAAGGCAGAGTCAGACAAAGAGTGAAGCGGGGTACGCAGGCGAGAAAGGAAGCCCGAGCCCCAGTGTGGCAAGAAGCACAAATCTCAGACGAGACCCCTTCAGTGCCTGGACCTGACCTGGCATCTCGTCTGGCCCTGCTGGCAAGCAGCAAGGCCCACCTACCTCTTTGCACCTGGAGTTGAACATTTCCTCCACCTTCCTTCTCGTCTCGGGCACATAGCACTTCTTCAGGAGTGGGAAATAGTGCGGGTACTTCAAGGTGACTTTCAGCTTGCCATCCTCTGTCTTCTCCAGGGAGTTCAGGAAGTCCTCAGGGAGCCCCCCTGAGAAAAGAGCAGACACGACTGATGGGAGAGCCCAGGCCTCTCCAGAAACACCAGCTCTGGGACGGAGCACAGGAGCAGGCTCTTGCTCCTTGGCCAGAGGAGTCCAGGCGCTCAAGGCCACCCCAGCAGAGCAGTAAGCCCGAGCGCTCCGTACCTAGTTCCTCCCTTGAGAAGGGCAAGTAAGTAGTGTCTTCGTTGAGGTTCTTGTTGAAGTCTATGCAAAGGACGCTCAGCTTTTTCTTAATAGCTTTGATTTTCTTTAAAATATAGATAGAGAAACATGAAATATAGATAAAGAGAGAAAAGTCAGGGTGAAGCCAAACAGCACCGTTCACCGTCTCCAGCCAGCAGCCTGCCTGCTGAGTTGCCCAGCGGTCTGCACTTGGCTTTTATTCAAACGCAACGCTGCAGAATTAATTGCATGCCTAGAACAGGCTCCCTTTGATCACACCTGGTAGGAAAGCAGCCACCTCAGCAAGGTCCCAGCTGTCTCCTGCCAGCTCAGGAGCTGCAGGTGTTTAACCAACAACCTCCTCTACCCTTATTTCATTTCACCTTCTTTTCTATTTTTAACCCAGCTTCGAGCTGCACGCATTGGCACAAGATAAGAGCGGGAGACCCTGAGCAGCTCAGCCCCCCAGCCCCGGTGGGGCACCCTCCCCGACTGCCCCTTTGCATGTGGGGGCCGGGTGCTACTTCCACTCGTGACCTGCACAGCACCCTCTGCAATCTCAGCTTCTTGGAAGTGCCCCCCGGCCGCCACTTCCAGCCTCAACCCCACTACGTAAACATCATCCCCATCCAACAGAAAGGAAAAAGAGGGGCGCAGAGACATCACCCCACGCGCCCAAGGTCACGTGAATCAGGGGGAAAATTCAGGATTCTGAGCCTCAGCCCTCTGTTCCGATGCTACACTGCCCCGTTAGCCCCGCGAGGCCTCCTCTACGTGTGCTTACTCAAGCTCTGTGATCTCACCTCCTGCGTTTCCTCGGGGAGATGGAGACCGTTTCTTTTACCCAATTTGATCAGCCTTTCTAGATATCTCTTTGCTTCAGGCTTCAGCGCAGCGCTCTCTGCTTTCTCCTGTAAAACAAAACCCATCAGCACAGGGAACTGCAGGATCAGGTGTTGCAGAAAGTTGGTTCCCAGTGCGAGTTGTGGGTTATTGTAACACCAGTGACCCAGAAGCAGATGGAAACACCCCACAAGAAGGCTTTGGTTTGGTGCGTTAGTCCCTATCGGATCACTTTAAACATCTCGCCTTTATGCTGTATTACAGCACTTTTCAGGGCGTTACCCAGCCCCTTCCCCGAGTGAGGCAGGCTGGGTTTACTAAAGCAGTCTTACCAAAGGGGTAATCGAGGCCCTGAGGGGGGGCAGTGGCCTCAAACCCCAACTCCCCAGTTCCCACTGACAGCTGGACCATTCTGCCACAATCACACAGCAATTCAGTTCCAGACCTGACTCACTACCATTCACTCCTAAGTTCTGGGAGAAGGGAAAAGGGTTTGTTGTAATTGCAAGGAAGGTTTCGGTGCCCTGCTCAGGTGCATCACTGACAGAGCATCCTCCCAGGCACACACCTGGAGCCAGACAATCCTCTGGTACACGTCCTGCCTCATGCTCATCTCCACATCGAACTCTGAGAGCTTCTTGTCAGCCTCGGTGCTCGCCGCGCGGATGTCTTTGCAAGGAGAGACATGCTGGGGGAAGTCCAGCATGTTCCGACGGACTGGAAAGACAGGAGAGGGATTACAGTGAAGGCAGTGGCTCCATGTCGCAGAACTGCTCGTGAGTGGGAGTGGACACAGAGAGCCTGCGTCAGCCGGGAGCCAGTTTGACAGCCCTGGGGCCTGACCTGCCAGCCCAGGGAAAGGAAGTGCGAGGGAAGCTGCTGCCACCAGACCAACCCAGAGCTGTCCTCTCGGAGCAGCGCTCAGTCACCTGCAGCGCCCGCTCACCCCTTCCTCGCTGCCGAGCACATCCCTCCACTGATTTCCCACTACAATCCATCTTTCTGACAGAACTCACATGAATTTCATGCCTGTGAGATCCCGATGCCCCAGCTACAGCTGGTATCAACAGCTTCAAGAATCACAGGACTGCTGTGCTGGCAGGCACACAGGCAGCATTGTTGCGTGACTCCATTCCTTAGAGGACCGGACTAAAAGCGACACCCTTACCACAGGCACGCCATAAAAGCTGCTATGTCCCAGGTGTGCTCTGCCCTGACGTATTTCCATTTTAGAAGTGAAAACAGGGAGAATATTCCCTGCCACCATCTCTGCAAAACCTCAAATAATACGACTCAGCGGGAAGGTGCTGCTCTCCAGGCACGAGAACTCTCCACCCAGCAGAAGGTGAGCAGGCAGGTACTCTCTGCCGCCCAGGGAAAGCACTGACAGCTCTGCTGAAGTTAACATTACCCCTGCTTTGTAAGGGTTTTTCCTCTTATTTCAGGGAAAAAGAAATCAGTGAGAAGAAAGAGGAGGCTTGAAGGCTTCTGCTTCATACAGATGTGACACCTCACGGCATGGGCGGTCAGGACAGCGGAGAGATGCCGTGAGGCAGGAGGAGGGCTGCGCGACTTTGGCACTCTACTGCTGTAAATCATCAGCCAAAGATCTCTGGAAGCCTGCATCGTTTGCCAGCACGATGCCATCACATCACGTTCCTTTACACATGACCCCTACAACAACAGCAGCGTTTAAACAAGGTGCACGGAGAGACATTTATCCGCTGTCTTAGTGAAAAAGTTAGGAAAAAGCTTAAGATTTCTTAGATCACCCGAACCATCTCTGCCAATGCAGAATTTGTTCCCTCTAATGCACCATGACACATAAAAGCAGGAGACAACCTTGAAAAGCTTGAGGCCACTCCTCCCGCAGACCATCCTGCTGCCAAAGCACTGCCCTCATTTTAGACTCACTCTTCTGTTCCAAATCCACTCTACTCTTTGTACTTAGACCTAGCTCTGTAAACATTAGCTGGAAAAAAAAAAGCCCATACCGCTGAGGGAGTCAAGGGAAGAAAAGAGGAGATGACAGTATGGAGAAAAAAAAAAACCATCAGAAAAATCATAATAACACGTTGATCTCCAGAAAGCCAGTACTCCCCGTCGGTGTACGTACCTGTGTATTCCACTTCCACATCAGCCAGTGCCTTGAGAGTGTTTTCATAGGACACCTCACCCTGCTCCTGGGAGCCCACCCGGTCGTACACGAGCTTGGTCCTCTCCGTGAGCTCTGCAGCCATGTTTTCTATCTGTTCGGCAGTCAGGTCCCATCTGAGCTGATTTGCCAACAGCCGGGGGGACTGGCTATCCACAACGTTACCTGGGGAGGAAACGCTCTGTCAGGCGTAGCCTTACACGGGCTGGGAAGAAAATTTAGCTGCATCGCTACCGCTCGATAAAAGCACATAAAGGAGAGGCCCAGCGAAGCAACCATGCTGATAGGCAAGCGGGTTCCCAGGAAGCCAGGGCGCTGGCGGCAATCCGCTGCTGGGTTATTTTCCGGGCGCTGTTTACCCTCTCAGCCATGCCAAGCCCTTCACAGAAACCCGACTCCCTGCCGCTCCCTCCCCGCCGTGCCCCCGCCATGTGCCTCTGCCCACGGCGGGGGGGGGG